AAGAGCGAGAATTGGAGGCAGCTCGGCAAAAGACTTCATCCGAAGAGATCTGGAGTTCCTGTCGAACTGTCAGCTTTCTGCCCAATCTGATTGGGGTCCTTGGCCGTGGATGTCAAACAAAACTCCTCCTCCTCCTCTTCTTCCTCCTCCTCCTCCTCCTCCTCCGCAGACTTCCGGTCCTCCGCTCCTCCTCCTCCTGCCCCCTTCCTCCTCCTCCTCCTCCTCCTCCTCGTCCTCGTCCTCGTCCTCCTCGTCCTCCTCGTCCTCCTCGTCCTCCTCCTCTCTCCTCTGCGCTCCTCCTCCCACCTCCTCCTCCTCCTCCTCCTCCTCCTCCTCCTCCTCCTCCTCCTCCTCCTCCTCCTCCTCCTCCTCCTCCTCCTCCTCCTCCTCCTCCTTCTTCTTCCTTCAGCCCTGGAAGACGACGGACGTCTGTGGCGTCCACACATGCACAGGAGACGCAGCCGAATCTCGCCCGCAAGACCTGGCAACACTGCACTCGCCCGAAGGAACGAGTAGCACATGAAACAAGGACCCTAGACGGGAAGCGCAACCCCAACATACATGGGGGCGCCAGCAGCCATGACGAGAAGCGCAACCCAACGGACGACGTGGGGCGCAAGGAATGGCGTATGGGGGCACAAGAATGGATGCACTAGGCGCACCAAGAATGCAACTAAGCGCCACTCACTGGTAGACGATCTCAGGACTCCTGGCGGCCGTGTGGCAGTACATCTTGTCGAAGGCGGCCTTGTCGCTGAGCAGCGGTAGAAAGACAGCGGCCACCCCTGGCTGCCCCTCTTGAGCAGCGAGGTCGTACAATATCTGGAACACCTGGTCGTTAGCAACTGGGTCCACATGTTGGCACTCGAAAGCGGCCTTTTGGAACGCAATGCCGAGAGACTTTTTCGTATGGGAGCCGATAGGCTCAAGACAAGATGCCTTGACACGAATGGCCTCTGCACCAGTCTTAAAGGCCCAGCGGTCAGCAGCGTCGTCGTAGAAGCTCAGGGTGCCTTCACGACCATTCAGCAGCGGCCTAGCCTTGAGGCCAACAAGGCGCGCGGCCATGCCTGGAACGAATGTGTGCTTCTCGCCGTGCTGCTGAGGAACAATGGCCTTTCCGTGCCGCTGGGGCCTCACCACATCAATATCAGTCTCCGCCTTGGCACAGGGTTCGCTCTCCATCGCCACAGAGCCCGAGCCAGTCGCGCCACCTTCACCAGGAAACTGCACGCTGGACGACTCATCCTTCTCGTGCGCCAGGACTGGCCCGATGGACTCGGCGTGCGTCTGGCGCTCGGAGCCCTCCTGCACCGCAGAACGCATGTCCGGCGGCGTATCAGAGAAGCCTCCGAAGAAAACCGGAAGGGGCTTCACGACAAGACGGATGCGGGACTCGCCTTTGGAGTTGTTGTGCCCGTGGTCCACGAGACTAGCGCTGTCGATGTCCAGCTGCGCCATGTGGAGCAAACTTATCATGAGGCTGTTCCGCATAGTCGGCTCCCAGACGGGACACAGGCAGATCTGCATGATCAGTTTGTCGCTGTGGCTGCACAGTTTGACAACACCTTGGCGGCCATTCGCTAGCTCCTGGATGATCCAATGGAGCCTGGCTGCTGAGACCATGGCGGCGCGGGGGGCAAGGGGGGAGAACAGCGGCTCGCAAGTGCAAGCGAATGGCCCCTCCTCAGGCAGACGCCTGAGCCACAGGGGCTCATCCTCCTCCTCCTCCTCCTCTCCCCTCCTCCTCCTCCTCCTCCTCCTCCTCCTCCTCCTCCTCCTCCCCCTCCTCCTCCTCATCCCGCCTCCTGTTGTCCCTCATCCCTTCTTCCATCTCGCATCCCGGATCCCTCATCCCGTTTTTCCTTTCGGAGCCCTCATCTCTCTCATCCCTCGCCTGTCCTGCCCGCCCTGGGTCCTGCGGCGAAGGAGGGACGGCTGCAGGCTGCGGTGGGCTGCCCGCCGCGCCCGCCTGCGGGCCCCAGTCCTGCGAGGAGGCGTAATAAATTCCAGCCCGCACCGTGGCAGGAAGGAGGGCCTCCTCCACCTCCTCCTCCTCCTCCTCCTTATATCCTCCTCATCCTCTCCCTCCTCCG